AAATAAAATTAACTGTCCGGCCCTTCTCCAACTCATTAAGGGGTTACGCCTTGTTGGGATCGGGAAAATGACGTAGTTTTCAAGATTTTTTTTGCCATCCTAACAAATATTTACTATGAAGTGAAATATATCATCGAAAAATAGATGTTTTAAAGTAGTTTTAAGATTTTTTTAAAAGTAAAATATTAAATAATTTTCTTGCGGTGGGCTTCTTCCAAACCGCATATTTGAAATCAAAACCAAAGAAGATTGAGTTAATATATTGTATTGTTAAGGGCCTGAACGAAGGATTTTGCGAAATTTTGATTTTCACCAAAATGACAAGAATTTTACTGAAAAATCCGGTTTTTAAAGTCAAATTTTGTTTTCTTTGCGATAAAAAAAAAGTTTTTCAACGGAATTAAAAATCCTTCGTTCAGGCCCTTAACAATACAATATACTAACTCATTCTTCTTTGGTTTTGATTTCAAATAAGCGGTTTGGAAGATATCGTGGCCACCGCAAGTGATTCTCAAGATAAGGGCGTTCTACGAGCGTTCCCTCATTATTTAACATTTTACTTTTAAAAAAATCTGAAAACAACCTTAAAACATGTATTTTTCGATGGTATATTTCACTTCATAGTAAATATTTATTAGGACGGCAAAAAAATCTTGAAAAACTTGAACTAAGGAGAACTAAGCTAAGCTAATTCAAAGGCTAGCTATTCTAGCTGATAAGTTGGGTTGGGTTAAGTTAGGTTAGGTTATTTTCTGGATTCGAATCCAAATTTTTCAAATTTTTGAAAAATTGTGATTTTTTAAAATGGCCATAACTTTGTAACGCCACGTGATATCGACCTCGGGACACTTCCTATCGTCTTCTCCGACCTTAATTTATCTGATAAAATAGTCGAGATCAATTACCCGGGAAACTGCAATCCAACCATATTCTGTGTAAAAAGGGTTTCACCCGTTTAGAAGCTAAATAAATAAATAAATGAGTAGGAAAACTGAAAACGCTTGAACCAGCGTTTCTAAAAGTCAGAACAGAGAATTCCAACGGAAAGTAAGCCCGAAGAGAAGAAAGGATAAGTTGAAAAAACAACGGCTCGTTAGGCAGAACGAAGGATAAAGGGAAGGAAATCGCAGGGACGAACGGTCCACCGATAATTAACCCGGGTTAAATGCAGATCCAGAGATTGTCCGTTTGCAGCCAGCTCTTCTTCCTCGACACTTTGCAGCCCCAGAGGCGAGATTTTCGCTGGAGTCGAACGCCGAATCCGCGTCCTTTGCTCTATTCAATTACTGGCATGGGATCGAGAAGGTAGGTAGAGGATAGCCTGAGGTGGTCTCAGCGTTCTAACGAGGCAGCATGGCAATTTTCTCTTATGAAGAGAGTACTTCGGCATCTCTTCTAAACTCAAAGCTCGTTTCTTTGCGCGACCTCGAAAGGAAACATCTCTTCTTCCTTGCTGGACGAGACGTAACAGAATTAACAATAGCATTGACTCCGGTCGTCATTACGAAGGTTAAAATTCACTCCTTTCAAAGGGTTGAACGCGATACTCTGTTAAAAAAAAGTGGTATTCTCCGAGAGGAGTCTTCTTTAGCCTGATTTCAGGAGGTTCCTTCCGTTTGTTTTGCCTCGATTTTCCAGCCTCCTAGCTGTAAGCTCGTTTTACTCGAGCCTGGATAAAGTTTCCACCGCGGTGACTCGACTGCAATTCGATGCTCCATCGTTCGCTTGTCAGCGTAATTGCAAGCATCCTGCCTCTCTTCGGCAAAAGGATTCGCGGCTCGAGCAAACACGGCAAGTTTGTCGCGAAAATATGGTCGAATTTTCGGTGCAGCTGCCTCGAGAAGCCCTCGAGAAGCTTCTTCTGTATAACTCCTGATCGCGTCGGCGAAGAAGTTACTCGGCAAAGGCTTAATCGTCGGCTAAAGTAAACGAAAACAAGGATGCCGCGAGAGGTGGCAGGCTTTCCTAAGGGATGAACCGAGGAGAATTTAACCCTTCGTCGAACTTTGAGATAACAATCGTTTGAATTTTCAAAGGTGAAGAAAGAATACTCGTCGATGGTTTGGATAACTTAGCGCAGGCTTGAATTTGTTTAACGATAGAATAACCGAAGGTAGCAAAGTCCCTTTTGAGTCTTTTCATTACCAGTGACGATCTAAGAGCTAATCGAAGGGTTTTCTTCCTGTAACAGCGAATTCCATCGATGCAAGAGAAGAAAAAAAACAGGCGATATCTTCGTCGATGTTCGTTTCGTTCATTGTCGTCGGGATAAAGTTGCCTCGCGTTGTTGGAAAATCACGGGGAAGGTGGAGCGAGAGAGGAGAGGCGCCGAGACGTCTCGACGCCGGTTTACCGCCGGTTTATCGGCGTCGTCTTCTCGCAGACGCCCTGCTCCTCTCGTCTCCCGGTAGTCGCTTCATCTCCGTTTACACCGTGCCTGTTGTTTCTCTCTCTTCCTCGCTCTCCCCTTGGCTTCATCGAAACCCTGTCTCCTTCCATCCTCTCTGGATCCGTTCTGTTTCTCTATTGATCCTTTCTCTATGTTTGGCTGGCCGACTGCAAGCCACTCTGGTTTAGCCATTTCTGCGCTAGACGCCAGATAAGCGACGCTGATGTACCTAGGGTCGCAACATAAGCGATCCAGCTGAATTTTCGTTCACGGAAAAATATCGGGAAATTTCCTTTCGCGAACAGACGAATTAGGACGTCAAAAAGAAACGTTGCATTTGCGAATCATGTCAATCTCTGTGTACGACTTTAAAATATAGCTTGATGCATCCAGGAGGCAAACATCGTGCATTTTCAGAAAGCAGGCCACGTCAAGGCTTAATGTACGAACATTTTTCCGCCTATACAAATGTAACTCGACGTTTTCGCAATGTATTAACCGATAGGCAACACGAACCGTTCTCTAAGCTTCTTGACATCTCGTAGTCCCTCGGCAAGGCCAACAAAAGTGCACGAGGCCCGAGCCTAGGTGACCTACAGCTCCTTGTTAAATTATTCATCGCGCTGACAGGGCGGTTTCCGCGTCGACGAGCATCATCTTCGTCGACGTAACGTGTGCACCCCTTGCCTTCCCTTAGCCGTTCCCGACACGCGAAACACGTACCGTTTCCTTACCCTTCCGTGGCCATCTGCGACGTTAGATTAAAATGCTCTTCATCGTGGTCGGATCGAGGACGTCCCCCGAGATGCGTATTTCATTTCCATGCCAAAACGACGCTCTCTCGAGAAAAAAAAAAAGGAAGAAGACCGAAAGGAAAAGCTACTGGGTAAGGAGCAGGGGTGATATTTCAAGCAAACGTTCCCCCACGACGACGATTACTCGAAACGATCGTCCGACTTCGAAACGCTTAAATTATTAGCCCACCGAGCTGTTATTCCGGGCACAGGTAGCGACAAATCGAGGAAAAGCAGGAAAGTTGGAAGAACGAGGAAGAAGCAGGGGATACCATTAGAAAGTTCCTCGAAACGTTTATTTTCACGGTAATGTGATATCGAGAGACACGAAAAGAAGAAGGGAATTTCTTGTACCCCTTGTTTTCGAAAAAAATTAATGCTATCACTTTTCTTCTATACACTGGTGGAATTAATTCTGGACACTTTGAATAAAAATATTCTTTATTTCATATTTGTGCGGAAAATGTGTATTCTGTTATGCTAAATTGATACCATAATATTTTTATTGTAATTTATAATGTTTATACTTAATATTTTCACATGATTTGCTTTGTAAACGTTTCAAAATTTTAATTTAAAAAAATCTAAACTGTGTCGGTATTTTTATTTTTGCGCCTGATGTGAAATATTCAATTAGAGTGTTGGATATTAATTTTTTCTACCTCCTTTGATGTACTGAAATTGTAATTTTTATTGTATATTAAAATTATGACTGTAAATGGTCTTTTCACTGATTTTTTTATATAAGCGACGCCCTGAAATTAGAAAATAATGATTAGAATATAAAATATAAATGATTATAATTTGAATAAATGGGAAATTTAAGTAAAAATTTAAGTGTCCAGAATTAATTTCACTAGTGTATGTATTCTACAGGATGAAATTATGCCAAAGGTTCGGTATCATTCGGTTCGAGTCGTTATTATCCTTGATTCGTTGAAATGAACCGCGACGAATTCGATGGAGTACAGTGCGTGTACATAGACTGACAATGAGAATGAAACGTTTCAGTAGGCCACTTTGGAATAGCTTGAAATCGGATCGAACGCGGTATTAGTTTTCACGAGGTCGTAAAAGGGAATTTACGAGCCGAAAACCATATAATGTTATTACCCGAAATGGTTATTTCTTTGGACGAAGAGATTTCAGGACATACATAAAAGGCAGGGCTACGTTATCGCGGCTCGCGTGGATTTCAAAAGGGGGCATGGAAATTTTTACGACCAACACTTTCTCCTTTTGCTTACTTCGCTGTTCTACTTGGACGAATGAATGACTACCATTCGGCCATTTATGTTTCTGAAGTTTAGGGGAGGCAATCTATAGACTGGATTAGCCGATGTGTTTACCCTGGGGAAGATGAGTTAACTCGTCGTTCGAGTGAAACACGTTCATTTATCCAAACTTGTGTACGACCAACGAGACAATTAGGATTGTTTAGGGTTGTTTCTGACAGTGGAAGCTCGCCCACTCGCCCCTTGTACCACTGATTTTTATCCTTCCAATAAATATCAGGATTTATTATCTAATTCTTGCTGAAACTTGGGTGTTTAAGGGGTGAAACAACCCCCCTTCGAGTGCAAAGAGAAGGCAAGACGAATTCGAAAAGAAATTTAAAGTTATTGGAAGAAGAATGAAAGATGCTGGGAAAAATGAAACGTTTCCTTCAATTTCCTTGCGGGGATGGATTCTATTTTATTACAAGTAGACTGCAAAACGTTTGAATGAATAGCACGAAATGTTTTCGAAAGAGATATTTTTCTCCCAACAATAGCTTGATATTTCTCGATCGATTGTAAGAAAATCATTGGTTACAGGTCCACAGTTTTCATCCCCGTGTGATAAACAACCAGCACCAAGATGGCAGCTTTCGTGGCGAAGCAGATGGTTGGAAACAAGCTGAACGCCGTTAAAGGTAAGTCGCATCTTCGATAAAACCAGCGAGTTTTCTTTGGAAATTTCCTTTCTTTTCGTGTTTCTTTCGAAAGTCTTCGCTTCGACGATTAAGGATTATCCTCGAACGCCCGAACAAACTTGCGCTCTTCTAATCGACAGAGAACTAGAGTTCCCGGATAAAATTACAATTACCAAAATATTCTTTTTGCAAAAAGAAAATTCTTGAGATCAGGGAAAGCAACATAATCGCCGCTAGAGAAAAAACACCGTTTCATCCTGTCTTAATACATTTTCTTCGATAAGAAACATCAGTCTTTCGCTCGGTAATTTAGCTCGCGAATTAAGATTGATCGTTCGCGCTAGCCAAGCAAAGATGGAGGGAGGGAAGGAAGAAAGCATTAGATCAAATGACGAAGCATCGTTATCCTGGCGCCAAGGCTTTGGTTCGTCGACTATGATAAAGAAAAAAAAAAAAAAAACACGAAAAAATTATTTACTTTCGCCAACGCTATTGCCATGTATTTTTATCCTATCGATCCGAGTTAAAAGAATCTTTCCTTAACTCACGCTCGCCCGAGTTACCGATAATACTTGAAATAGAATCTTCTGTAATACTGACCCTTCGATGCTGTTCACGTAACCGTGTCAACGAAATGATATAAAAAGCTTGTCACTTTTGTTATTTATGACTTTGCGTCGCGTTATATTTTCGTCACTGAGAAACATTTCGTATCTGATTTATCCTCGCCTTCCCGTCTAAGCTTTGACAGCTATTGCTTTTCGGATTATTTCGCCAGTAGTCTATACCCGTTATTAGATCACCTGGAATGCATATATCCGTAGGAGGCCATATCGAACGCGTATATTCTTTATTAGGCCACCTCGAACGCGTATATTCGTCATTGGGCCATATCGAACGCTTACATTAGCTACCAGCTGATACCAAACGCTTCTAGTCTAAGTAGAACGTATATATTCGTCAGTAGACGGTATCAAACGCATATATCTGCCTGCAAGCTATACAGAAGCTGTACATTTACAAGCCTCAAAGGAACCATAAACCTCATAGACACGGGCTCGATTCCATATACTTTCGATCACACGATACAACATATCCCATTAAAGTTACAAGGTCTTTAACGTAAGAGAATTCCACGGTGGCGTGGGGATCGCGGCGTTGGATCGCATGGATTAAAGCGAACCCACCGAGGGCGTACAATTGATTCGGCTCGATTAGAGTATCGCCAAGGGCCATCGAATCCTCGGAAACTGAACGACACACGGTATATTCCATTGCCAGTCAATTATATCGTTCGCGGTCAACTTTGCCAACTGGTCGGTTGATAATCGGCAGCTGCAGCCGCGAATCGAATTGCTAGCAAACCAAATCGACGCGCTTAATCGAATCAACCTTCTGTTAATGATCCACACGGTAAATGTCTACAATTAGGGCCCCGACGAGAAATCAATTGAAAAGAGGTAAATTCTATGTATTTTTGCCCCTTGAATCCGAAACTGTTGATAAAATTTCGGGGTCGCTTGTATTTTTTAACCCTTTCACCACTGTCGGGACATATATGTCCCAGAGCAAATATCAAATTACTATTGGACAAATACGTTCCAAAACCGCGTATTATTTGAGTGTTCCAGTAATCTTGAGCTTATTCCTTGTACATATATAGGCAACTATGCAACGTTTTTTGTTGTATCACACGTAAAATATAATGAAGATTGTTCCATTACAACATCCTTGTTATTTTACTACTAGGACACATTGTCCCAGGACATTTTCGGAATAGTAGGATATATTAAAAGTATAGAATGCACATATTTATTCATTTTAGACATTATTTCATTAGAAAATGTAAAAAGTTTTTTAAAATATATTAAAAACATATTCAGTGGTGAAAGGGTTAAGATAAAGTTAGGTTAGATTATCAGAAAAAATATAACTTACCTCACGGCAAAAACTTGACCAGTCAACAATAGTCTCCTCGAAAAGAATAACTTCAAAGTGTGAATTTAAACGAAGTGTTAAAAGTGGTAGGTGGTTAACCAACTTTAATCTTGATATCACGATTGCCCGTTTTATTGGATACTTTCTCATAATGCGTCCTCCGCCCTGTGCACTCTATGAACAGGAATTAGAACTGACAAGGGGAACTACCCAAGCGTTACACTCACTTATTAATGAAACTTTGCCAGCTTGTAAAGCTCGTCGAGCTGAACACGCCTATACCCCGTTTTGTGGGCAAACGACTAATTGTTTAAAAGATATTAATAATTAAAGTTAGTTACTACTTACATTGAGAAGTATGACAGACTTACACATACAACTCGCAATCTAGAGATCCACGGTTCAAATCCTTGATTCCCAAAATTTTTTTTTTTTTTTTATGATAATTTGTCTCTTTTTGAATAACTATTACATAAAAATTATCATAAAAGAAAAAAAATTTTTTTGTGAACCAAGGATTTGAACCGAGGACCTTTAAGTGGCAAGGCACGAATCTGCTCCGTGGTTAAACACATGACTCGTAATCTAAAGGTCCTCGGTTCAAATCTTGGGTTACCGTTTTTTTTTTTTTTTTTTATAATGATAATTTTTATGTAATAGTTATTCAAAAACAGACAAATTATCATTAAAAAAAAAAATGTTGGGAACCAAGGATTTGAACCGTGGATCTCTAGATTGCGAATTGTATGTGTGAGTTTGTCATACTTCAAAATGTAAGGAGTAACTAACTGTAATTGTTAATATCTCTTAAACAATTAGCCGTCTGCCCACAAAACGGGGTATAGACGTGTTCAGCTTGACGAGCTCTACAAGCTGGCAAAGTTTCATTAATAAGTGAGTGTAACACTTGGGTAGTTCTCCTTGTGAGTAAAGAGACCATTGTTGACTGGTCAAGTTTTTGCCATGAGGTAAGTTATATTTTTTCTGATAACCTAACCTAACTTATGTAGGTTAGTGACGAGCTTTAAAACTATCGTCTACCCCACAAAGTCATTAACTTTTGAAAATAATGATTTTATGTCAATATTTACCACAATATCTTAGTAAATACAAGCGACCCCCAAATTTTATCAACAGTTTTAGATTCGGGGGGCAAAAATACATAGAATTTACCTCTTTTCAATTGATTTCTCATTAGGGTCCTAATCGACTTGCTTCCTCCGATCCACTTCCGAATGAATTTGTAACTTTCATTTATAAATTCTTTGCTTTAGAATTAATCTTTTGCAATTTGAATTTCTTTGAATTAGGATAATGAGTCTCGGTGATCTCTTTTTACTTTCCGGAAGATCTCATAGTATAGATTATGTAGCCGCGACAAATGGCAGTTCGCGAACGGAACACTTAATCACTGTTATTCGTGTTACAATTACAAGTTGGCCGGTTGGAAGTGGGAATTGAAGAGAAGCAACCGCGGGCAGAGAGTTTCGGTCGACGCGTCACCGGCTGGCTTGTCGGCTAGCTGGCAGCGTAAACGATGGCTCGCAATAAAACTTCTGTCATTAAGGGGAAAGTTTCAACCCCCTTGCCCCGGGAACGGGAGAAAGAGAGGGAAACGGGGTGTACGGGAGGCAAGCGTATCGCGAGGAATCCGTAATGGGAAACGGGGACCTTCGTCAAGCTACGAGCAAGCCTCGACCTCGAATCTTTCTTCGGGCCAACCTTAACTCACTTGGACATAATCAATCCATCCTCCACCGTCCCGGCTTTTCTATCCTCTTCCTTCTCCACCCGATCGCTTCGTTTCTTCTGTCTTTTCTCGACTGGCTCGTTTGTTCTTTCGATGTCTTCCATTATGTACATTGACCGAGGAATCGTCTCGAGCTCTGACTCGATTCTTCTCTACAATCACCTTCCTTGATGTAACTTTTAAATGGCCTCGCTCGTTTTTCCTCCCTCGTCCCTTAGACTATTCTCTGATTTGTTGGAATTCAGAGGATCGGGCCTTGGGATAACGATGTATTTTACGATAACGAGAAGAGCATATTCTGATCGATGTGATTTCGGCAAACTCCTAGCTTTTTCGAGAGCTTCATTCGACTTCGAATGTATTTCAGAAAATCGGGGGTAATAATTTCAAGACTGCGCAAACTCGTAGTTTTGGAAAGTAGATGGATCGCTGGAAAACAAGCTGCTATTGCTGTATTCACGAAAGGATAAACCGGGCGCAATCGTTCACCGAGCAATTATCGCGAGTTGTCCATCAGGGTTGTAAAGCAGTCACGAGGGAGGAGAAGTCGGAAGTTCCGAGAGGTCCGGAAACCAGCGGTTTGCTCGAGGGTGCGACACGGGATTTTAGCGGGGAATGCGGTCAGGAAACTTTCGCGAACCTCCAAGAGTGGACGAATCGAATGGCAATTAGTTTGGGTTGACCCGAATGAATGCTTCTCTACGGATTTCCTCTTCCCCGTAGTGTTGTCGATTTCCTTCTCTTCTATCTATCGTTATCCATATCGCGGCGTTCGCCGAAGAATTATCGAGAAAATAAAAGGGATGAAAAATCGTGATTATCTTTGCGGCAGCTTAATAAAACGTCTTTCTCCTTGATCGATCAGAGTTTCTTGAAAAGTGCACCGTCTGTTATCAAGCGAAAGAGAGATTGCTCGATAAAACGATGAATGAAGAGGACGATGCCGCGGGAAATATTGTAGATCGCATTACTATCTCGAACGGTATTTGTCACCGGCAAATCTGACGTTTCCTCAGGAAAATCTCCCTATTTCACGGCGCAGTCATAGTCTTGCTAGCTTCCAAACGGATTCGTAGCTGGAAGGAACGAAATCCTATTCGTTGCGGATTTTATTTGCCATCCAATGATACGATCCTCTGCTGGAAATCGTTGATACATATTTCAACGGTACACTTTCGTCAACCTTCCTGCTATTTAACGTCGAATTCTGAAACGAACGAACAGTATACAAATTATTATCGTTCCAGTTAAACTGGAACGTTGTTTCGACAGCCGCGAACGGGTACACGGTCGGTGGAAGCGAGAAAGATCA